TGTAAGTGCCGGGTATGTACCCTAAGAGTAGCAGATACATACCCTATAAATGCCAGGTAAATACCCTGTAAGTACCAGGTACATACCCTGAGAGTACCAGGTACACACCCTAAAAGTGCCAGGTAAATACCATGTAAGTACCAGGTACATACCCTATAAGTACCAGGTACATACCCTGAGAGTACCAGGTACATAACCTATAAGTGCCAGGTAAATACCATGTAAGTACCAGGTATGTACCCTGAGAGTACCAGGTACATACCCTATAAGTGCCAGGTACATATCCTAAAAGTACCAGGTATGTACCCTATAAGTACCAGGTACGTACCCTGAGAGTGCCAGGTACATACCCTGAGAGTACCAGGTACATACCCTATTAAGTGTCAGGTAAATATCATGTAAGTGCCGGGTATGTACCCTAAGAGTAGCAGATACATACCCTATAAATGCCAGGTAAATACCCTGAGAGTACCAGGTACACACCCTAAAAGTGCCAGGTAAATACCATGTAAGTACCAGGTACTTACCCTGTGAGTACTAGGTACGTACCCTGAGAGTACTAGGTACGTACCCTGAGAGTACTAGGTACGTACCCTGAGAGTACTAGGTACGTACCCTGAGAGTACCAGGTACATGCCCTGTAAGTGCCAGGTTCATACCCTGAGTACCAGGTACATACCATGTAATTACCAGGTACATACCTTGAGAGTGCCAGGTACATACCCTATAAGTACCAGGTACATACCTTGAGAGTACCAGTTACATACCTTGAGAGTACCAGGTACATACCATGTAAGTACCAGGTATATACCCTATAAGTGCCAGGTAATCATGTAAGTGCCGGGTATGTACCCTAAGAGTAGCAGATACATACCCTATAAGTGCCACGTAAATACCATGTAAGTACCAGGTACATACCCTGAGAGTGCCAGGTACATACCCTATAAGTACCAGGTACATACCATGTAAGTACCAGGTACATACCCTGAGTACCAGGTACATACCATGTAATTACCAGGTACATACCTTGAGAGTACCAGGTACATACCATGTCAGTACCAGGTACATACCCTATAAATGCCAGGTATTTCTATTCATTTTAGTTTACCTGTAGGGGTCATTGACGCTCGCTCTGATCATCTCCATGGCTCGCTCCCTTATCCCGCAGGTACTGATGTCCCTCCCCAGGCCCAGGTCCAGGATCAGGCCCAGAGGACAGGACAGGGGACAGGTGAGCACCATGCAGACCTGAGCTAGCCAGGTCAGCGCGGGGGCCATCTGGAAGCCGTACCCAGAGCACAGGATGTGTGGAAGCAGCTCAGCCAGGAAGAAGATGAGGAAGCCGCTGATGAAGACCCCGGAGACGATGGAGCCCAGAGCTCGGTACAGCAGCACGCCCAGAACCGAGTGTCCCACCGCGCAGAGGAACAGCAGAGAACATGTCTGGACGGAAAACACGGATGTTTGCAAGAAGAAAGAAAGCAGGCTCCAGACCTCTACCTCCCTGCAGGTCTAGTCTCCTGCTGAAACTCACCAAGAAGTTCCCCCTCCTCCTGACGGGCTCCAGGCGCTTGGCGGCTCGTTTCTCCTCCTCGGATCCGCAGCTGTGGAGCACGTAAAGCTCCACGGGGTCCAGCCACAGCAGGCTCAGGTTCACGGTCCTCAACATCCCGCAGATCAGCAGCAGCAGCACCACCAGCAGGGCCAGACCCCACGGAGGGATGTAGTCTATTTCAGGACTTCTGTCCGGACTTATCCGCAGTTTGTCCGGGCCCACTTTAGCCCAATTGTCCCCGATCAGCACGCACAGGTAGCTGTAACCGCTGTCAGCTCCTCTCTCGGCGATGCTGCTCTCCACCTCCACCGTCAGCAGCCCGCTGTGCTCCTCGTCCAGGAACAGGTCCTTGGTCACCTGGAAGGCGGACTTCTGGCGGTTGGACTCGTCTTCGCACGGGTCGGGGGCATCGCCGACCTCCGCCGCGGCTCCAGCTGCCCATGCGAACGCCACCTTCGGCAAGCTTCCATTCAGATTAGCCCCGAAGAAGAGACGGAGACCGAACGTGGCTCCTTCCGGCGCTGAGATGGTCCGCTCCTTCATCCACACCAGACCCGCCGAGTCTTCTTCGAGTCGCAGCCCCACCACCTGTGAGGCTTCTCGGCTGCAGGCGCTGTGTGTAATCCCGCAGAACAACAATAACACCATCAACAGGAACCGTAGACCTGCCAAGCTGGCCACCATATTGGAGATAGTCAAGTCTGGCTCCGCGCGGGTCATGTGACCAGACTCAGCCTCCCAGAGGCTCCGCCCACCGAGGGCTGCTTGCTGCTGCTGCTGCAACTGAGCTGCGTAGCGGCCATGTTGGCTCCGTCCGCACGTGTTGTACAGCTGGAGTTTTAGCTCGCAGCGGACATTTTGGCGCTAGATTCATCGTGTTTTTGTTTTTAAAGCGCCACTCTTTCGCAATGTGCGTTCACAGCACGAGCACACGCCCATCTTTGTTATCAAAACAAGCAGGACTCCGTCCGGAACCGGGCCTTTTTGTTTGCCTTAATCTAAAACGTATTTAATTATCAGCTCAGTGTTGCCATTAAACAAGTTTGCTAAAAACACCAGCTAAAACTGATTGTACAGCACCTTGTGAATATTTCTGTGAAAGTCGCTTTATAAATAAAATTTACTAAAACTGGTTTTATATCATGTAATTAATATAGAAGTTGGTATTTATGATTTAAAGGAATGGCATTATTAGTGTTGATGTAGCTAGTTCTTATCATCCCAATGCTTTCATTCTGTGTTATCTACAGTCTGGACTAAATAATCTCTTCAAGGCTCCTTTTAGAAAACACTGCTTTAACACGGCCTCAGGCCACAGAAACCAGTTACAGTGAAAACACGTTCTGAACTGATAAACCTGAAAACAAAACCATTTGACATTAAACCTAAACTCTTCTGTGGGGTGGTAATGCAACTTATAATAGGAATACTAAATTCTGATAAATCACTGACATCTGCTTTTTATCCACTGCTCCAAGCAGACAGTGGCCTAATGTTTCTGGTTTGTGCTCATAGGTCTGCCTGTTAGCAAAATATCTCATGAACCGTGAAACTCAGCAATGGTTGGATTGTGTGAGTGTTTATCAAGCATTCACACCAATATAACTTATTCCACAATTTTGTGCTATTTCAAATATGAAGAATGATCTGCTCTTTCATACCATGAACTTTGGTATTTCAGCAAAACTTTTTCAGCTATTTTTGGCCACTTTTTCCTCAACGAAAATGAACGGAGCTGTCCTCTGTATCAAAACCCTTTAAAATGTTTAAATCTTTACTGATTTTTTAAAAAGTTTTATTATGGTTCTGTTTTTTGTGCTAATTTAAGCTCCCTTGAACTTTTTTTTAAATTTAAGTGTTTACTGCTGTTTCAGCTGCCTTTCGGTTCTTTTCCATTGATCTTTTTTGTGCATCTTTTTTTACTTTTTAATGCTAATTTAGGCTGTTTTGTTTTGCCTAATAAGCTAATTTTTTCTACTAAACTCGCTTTTTTGCGATAATTTTAGCTACCTAATTCAGCAAGCATGCTCTTTCTGCTTCTTTGTGCAAATATCAGCTTTTTCAAGCTACTTTTTAAAGCTAATTTCAGCTTTTTTAGCTATCACAAATTGCAGTTTTTCTGATGTTTCTGCTAATGTGAGATTTTTTACTGTCCTTTTACACCTATCTGCTAAATTTAAAGTGTTTCTGTTATTTTAGCTACATTTCTGTTCTGCTCAGCTTTTTTGACACATTTTTGCTTTTTTTAAAAATCTCTTATTTTCTGTTTTTCCTACTTTCAGCAAATGTCAGCTCTTCAAATTGAACTCACATAAACATTTTTGCTATTAAACGTTTTCAACTTCTTCAGCAGAAATCTTTCAGCATTAAGAAATCACACTGCATTTTCACAGGAAATGCAACTTTTCTGGTTTGTATTTGGAGTCAAGTCAGTTTATTGACATTTTTAAATACAGATACAACCAAAGGCGTAACTTTAACTCTACCATTGTGGGGTATATGCTCTCTGCCTATTTTATTGAATCATTTGCTTTTTTAAAACTATTCAGAACATTTTAGGGTTAAAATACATTTTAGTGCTTTTACTATGATTTACTTTTCTGTTTGCTTTGTGTTTACGCAGCACATTTTTTGGTCCACGTCAGTTCAACAATTAAGAAAAGGTTTACCCAGCCACCCATTTTTTCCAACATACAAATATTTTACATTTTTGGGATGTATTATACAATTTCTCAATTAACCTGATGCACTACAATTTGACCATAGGAAAAATTACAACACATGATTCAACAAATACTGTGTAGAGCAGACTAAAACCCAACTTGTAAAACCTAAGCTGATTTCTATCTCACAGTAGCCTAGTTCGCTGCACCCACGTCTTCAGCCAGGGCTCGAGCACCAAAAAACTTTCTCATATCAATAAAACTGTTTAACTGCCGTATTTCTGTGTGAGTTTTTCCAGGTTCACAGCAAAAATACCAGTGTTAATTTAACACCCACAGTGTTACGTTTAACACCAACAAAGTGTCTATATGTGTCCACACTCGCTGGCGTTAAAATAACATTTGTGAAAGTGTTAAATTTTAACACTCATTTTTTTTGTTAATTTAACACCAACCAGTGTTTAATATTCAACAATTCTTGGTGTCACATTAACATAAAAATAGTGTTAGTGTTAAAATATAGTGTTAAAATAACACCAGCCAGAGTTAAATATTCAACAATACTGGGTATCAATTGACATTTCTACAGCGTTAAAATAAAGTGTTAAAAAGTAACACCAGTGTATTATTATTATTAACAAAGGAAATTGTGGCGTTTGAAAGCTTAACAAACACCACAAGGTGTCAATACACCATCAAACTGAGTGTAAATTCAACACACAGAGTTAATATTAAAATCTCTGTAGAAATGTATAATGGAGTCACTCTTCACACACCAGGACATACCTCTCAGTAATGGTGTTGATTTTTGGCCAATAACACAAACTTAAAGTTGAACAACTTGATCAAACTGAACAAGAAAACAAACCAGAACAACTAATTTTTACTCTCATGAATGTCTTTAACGGTCATAAACATGCAAAAACATCATTTCTGCAAGATTTCTCAGCAAGGAATGCTGGGTAAATGCTGGTCTGTCTGACATGAAGTGGAAGAGGGCGGGGCTTTTCAGAAAACTTCTTTCAACACTGCATGGTGTCACATAACAACACTGTTAAGTGTTATATAAGTGGGCGGAGCTTATTTAACACTGTACAGTGTTGAGACAACACTGAGGAAATCAACACTGTAAATTAACACCAACACTGGGTGTGAGTGTACTCAGAAAGTGTTAAATTAACACTAGGGTGTGTTAAATCAACACCCAAAAGTTTAACACTGAGATTTTAACACTCCTGTTTTTGCTGTGTTTAAATGCACACGTATGACATGGTAAATTTTGAAAACCAGGTCAAAGTTACCTAAAGACAACAAGAGAGTTGCAGCTGCGTTAAACAGTTAATTTCTATTGTGTTAGAGCAAAAGATGTAATTTTATTGGGTGGGTGAGAGTGGTCCTCAACACATTCTCCAAGCACTAACTTCCTGTTCTGTAATCCCATTTAAAAGATTGGACCAAAATCATTGCATATTTTCTTCAGGAGAGATCATCTTACGTTTAAGTCTGGCATGAAAATCAGCAGGAGGTGTGCATTCCTTCAGGCCCTGTCAACGTTTTAGACAACTTATGCAAATTTTGTCCAACATTAAGTTGCACAAGTTAGGTGTAAGTTGTGAATATATTGTCAGAATGATGGCTCAACAATAATTTTGGACATGTTCAAAATTTGTCAGCTTATGTCAACGTGCTGCTAATAAGTAAGCCATAAGTTACAGGTCTGCTATTTTTCTGAATAAGAGGCCACAATATTTATGAAGGGGCCAAGTATTTGTTCAATATCCTTGCACACAAATCCCTAGTTTTGGTAAGATACATTTAAACAGTCACACATATCCAAACACTTGTAATTTAAAAATAAAAGCTTGCACAGTAAATTCTTCTAACCAATTTTACTTGCATTTTTACTATATAAAATATTCTCAAACACACAGCATGTGATAAAATCCAGCCATTGTCTGTCAGTTGAAAGACTTTTTCTGCAGGATAGCTCAAATTTTCTTAAGAAGAGAATAACAGTTCTTTGAGTGTGATTCATGCTGGACATTCTTACTTGATTCATTAGCGCCACTAGTGTCTGAACATGGAACTGCATCCACAATCATTGACTTCAAGAGTTTTATTGTCATATGCAGTGCTGGCTCTAGCCCTTTTTGTGCCCTAGGCGAGTTGAAGCGCAACCCCCCCAGCCCCTGAACTATGTCCCACCCACCCCAATTTGAACCCCTAAAAACAAGTTTGACAGTTGAAGGTACTGTGGTAAACTTAGATTTATTCCCCCCCACGTGCAAGTTGTATGGATTTTTTGCAAATTTTATGGATTTTTGAGGCTTTTTATCCAGGTAAACGTCTGAAGAGGTTGACATGTATGGACAACAAAATACAGACTTGTTGTTATTGAATTTGTCAACACAAACCTCTACCTGAGAGGCACTACTAGCCCCTCCCCCATCAGAGTGTCAGAGCAGGACGAGTCAGTGCAACATCCATCAAATGAGAGAGAGGTTGGGAGCGTTTGCTGCATTGGGGGGGGGGGTGTTTTATGGGTAGAGTAGTTTATTTTTCCTGTAGTACTTCATAATAGTTGTTTAAGACAAAGCTGAAAGGGGCGCTGGGCAGACTTACAACCAGGGATTACAAATAATTACTTTTTTCTTCTGCAGTTCGGCGCCCCCTCCAGCAGATGGCGCTCTAGGCGACCGCCTAGTTCGCCTATGCCAAGAGCCAGCTCTGGTCATATGCCCAGCATACAAGCAGTTACACTGTGCAATTAAATTCTTACTTTGCAGTTCCTCCATTTACCGACAGTCTGAGAGATTATAAATAAAATACAATAGAGTACAAAAAGTAGGGTGGACAGAATTATAGACCAGTATTTACAGTTTTACGGTGTTTACAAACAGTAGCAGCAGAATTTGTAGTGCAAAAAGTCACTGTATATAAGTAAACATCAAACGTGATATAGACCAGACAATATAGACACTAGTGTTATACAGTTATTACATAAACCAGTGTTATGCAGTAATTAACAATATTGTAGACCAGTAACCGCAGAATGTGTGGTGGGCTCATATTACAACAGTTGATTACTGTATAACACTGGTTAATGTAATAACTGTTTAACACTAGTGACTATATTGTCTGGTGTATATCACGTTTAATGTTGCACATACAGAAGTCCAAACACGTTGTAATAAGCTTGTACACGTTAAGGTACGG